GCATCTATACGCTGTACTGTGTAATTAAAAAAAAGAAATAAACGAAGAAGAGAAGAAAACCTCGACCTCCAACGCAGCAAGAAACTGTCGATTTTGCCTTGGGGCGAGATGTGATTTCCTCACAGTCACATGGGGCCCACCTAGTACACGTGCTCCTTGCCTGAGGGGGACACGTCGGCAGCCCCTGCCAACGCCGTTGCAGCCGACTTCTACTCGTCGAGCCCGCGCAGGATTTCAAGGCTGGTGTACACTAGAAAAGATCACGGCGTTGCCGTGTATGGCCAGTGGACGTGCCCGTTGTATATTATAGATGGTCCTTGTTTTGTGTACAAATAAAATCATGTGAAAACATCAATTTTCTTACTTGGATCAATGATCTAATATAAATATGGGACTATTATATAATCTGGGCTTAGTGAATGCAGGGGCATGATAAAACTATCCATATTAATTAAGTAAAGGAAGGTGGAATACGGTGTTCTTCTACTGCCATCCTAGGGTTAGAAAAAAATTTGTCTTAAATGGACTTAGGCAGAGTGGAACAACAGTTATATTGGTTTTGTCCTCTGTCCATGCCTGACCAAACCAGATAAAGTTAATAATTATTGAAAAATAAAAAATAATGATTCTATGCTTGAAAAAATATTATACCTTGTTTTGGAGAAATTATTGATAGAGGTAGCCTGAAAGACCTGTGAACTATAGCCTTCGGTGCGAGGAGTAAAAGAGTCATTTCACGTACAGTTTAACACCGTTAGCCCATCAAAATAGCAGAAGGGCTAAGAAACCTAGGCCTGGGCGTTCCGTTCTACCGAACCGAACCGATCGGTTCTTCGGTTTTTGAAGAAGTTCGGTTCTCAGGAAACTAGTACCGATCGGTTCTTCAAAAAACATGGAACCGATCAAGTTCGGTATCGGTTCTTTTGGTTCGGTTCCGGGTAGAACCGAAAAACCGAACAGTACCCAAAATCCATGTAACAGCATGTTCAATAGCAAATTTTGACAGCATTTCAGCACGATTGCATACAAAACTACAGTGACAAATATAACAGTGAAACAGAGTAACAAATACATAAATAGAGTGCTAACTTCTAAAGTAAGGCATCAGCATTCAGCAAGAGTGCAAGACACTACAACACACTAATACACTATTTTCGGTTCCTCGGTTAGTTCGGTTAACCGAGGGGAAACCTATTTTACCGAACAAATTTCAGTTCCTCGAAAATGAGAACCAAACAGGGAACCGAGACTTCGGTTCTCAGTAAATTCGGTTCGGTTCTCGGTTTTTTCGGTAAAATTTGCCTAGGGCTAAAGAAATCAAAGAAAATTCGTTTTAGGGCCAATAAGCAAGTTCGAGAAAAAAAAGGGGCAAGAAACTAAGCAGTGCTTTTTTAGGACCAAGGGAATAATTTCCTCAAGTTTTATTGGCATATTAATACAATGAGCACATTTAACTCTTCGCAATTATATGAATATGAATATTGAAAATTACATTTGGCAGATATATTTATTGCATACTAAATTTACATGCGACGAAGCTATACTTTAGAACCCAATTGAGGAGCATAAGTTATGATTTACCTTTCAAATTGTGCTACATGCTTATTTAAGCTTTTCTCTCCCAGTTTTCTCCCTTCATTTTCGGTTTTTTAATCACTTCCGGCTGGGCCATCTAAACGTGGCTAAAACCTTTGAACTTTGGCCACTTCGGCTCAATCACATTGATTGACCTAGTTTGCAACGAAATAAATTCAAGGATTGGTGTGTGGGGGCCCATGTTCCATCAGGTCATCACAGCAGCACGTGAAAGGCTGAGCCAAACTCCATCCTTTATCGATCCACTGCACTACCACCGCAGCAGCTAGCTTCTTCCCCTTTTCAAGCAGGATGCCATTTCCCCCCTCCCTTCTTTTCATCCACAGAAAGGGGAGCAATAGCAGATCCATTTCGCTTCAGAGCAGATCGCTCGTAGCTGCTTCCTCTTCGTCCAAATCAGCAAGCAACGAGCACAACCAGCAGCCCACTGCTCCCTCCTCCCCCACGACTCTCCATTTTTTCCTTGCAAGAGCATAGCAGCAAGTCAACGAGAAGCGCGAGGTGGAGGATGTTCGAGCCCGCATCTACATCCACGGCTTCAACGATCGAGAAGCGCAACTCCATCCCCAACATACCGTAGTCATCACGGACTTCCGTCACTGAGACCTACTTATATGAGAGGCTGACCAAGAAGCTCGTACCACCACCGAGCTGTTCTTCGACCTCGATCTCGAACATGTAGAGGCGTGCGAGCCGTGTTTAGGCTCTGACAAAACCGCAATAGCTGGTGATTTACCGACCGAAATTGGGTGTGTATCAATTCCGTGTAAAAATCTAGCTTCTAACTCGGATTAGGATGACAGAACCGCATTATATTAGAGGGGTTTTAGGAAATCGGCTTAATTAGCTGCTTTCCACGGGTGTCGATCGATCTTCGAATGGACACAACTCCTTCACCCACACTTCAAATTAAACGTTTCATATATAAATTTCAATGGCCTCGACTAGATTTAGGCTTGTTCGCTTGTCTGAATTTTGAAGAAAATTTATATGGTTTGGAGGAATGTTGGAGGAATTTGTGAAAGGAAAACACGGTTCCGGATAAAAAAAATAAGCGGATCAAACCGGATTTAAGGACACGCGGACGGAGCCTTAAGTGATGGTGAAGTCTACTCTGTGATTGGACAATGTTACACAAACCTGCAGTCGTTTTGAAAATCACACGGTGCTTGCCAATTTTGGCCGCTAACACCGTGCCTGTTAGTTCTTCCATATGTCAAGCCAGTCTATTCTCACTTCTCTGCGAAACAAGTGGTTACTTGCCTATAAAATGTTCCGAATTAATTCAGTATGCTCAGTTGGTATCCGTGATTTCCAGCGGCGAATCTAGACTAAACTGCTGCCGGGGTCGCACAGATTCATGAACTCAATTTGATGAGGTCGTAGCTGACCAGAATACGCGGGGTTCTACTGATTAGTACAAAGTTATCGGGGTCGCATGACCCCGACACATATGCACTGGCTTCGCCGCTGGTGTTTTCCCAAAACAACACCTCAGTTTGTTGCATGTGGAAGTAGTTGGTGCTGTTTTCCCCTGCTAGTAACCTCTGGGGCTAGCTCCTCAGCAAGAGAGTGCTCCACTTTTCAGTCTGCACTTTATGATTCTGTTCTTCATTTTGGTTTTCAAGTGAACCACATATTTTCGACCTTTCTGAAATTACCTGTTTTGAGCTAAATTGGCAATATCTGTAACTTCCTAGTTTATGGCATTACTACTTACTTTCTGCTAAGGAAAGATTATGGCCGCTGGTTTCCAAAGTTTTCAACATCACATAGCTCCGTTCGACGGGTCTGTTCACAGAGGCGCGTGCAGTCTACAGAAATAAGACGAAGAATAAGGCTGTGATGCGTATCTCTGCATACATGTGTCAGCATGTTTTTAAAGTCCAGCCACCTAGAAAGTTTTAGAATCCAATCTATCAGCATCCAAAGTTTTTAGAATCCAATCTATCAGCAATTCAGCATCCAAATTGGTCTGTTCATCCATACTTCAAGCTGAATTTACGCAACATTGAGCTTGCGTGGCGTATCAACATCACGGCAGCTCTACTGCAGAAGTTGCAGAATTCGAGATCAAAAGTTGAAAACATAAATTTGGTACTAAGACATTAAGTGAATCAAACGAACAACGAATCTGCCTAGAGCCTGTTTTACGCTGGAGAAACATAAGCATGGTCATGGCAGTAACACACACATTTACAAGAAGTGCGGCAATGAACAAACAGTGAAGTGCACAAGGTTATAGCAGCAGCGTTTGCAGCTACTGTACAATATTTGGCGGCATTCTTCGTCGCGTACATGATACCAATACCAAATAGAATCTGGTTGCTGATGCTTTGCCTAGGAAGCCACCCCTCTTCTAGCTCCCCTGATTGCTTACAGGTTACTACAGCTTCCCCCGATTGGACTGCTGACATTCTCTCTGGTTATGCCCATGATACCAAATGTCAGAAATGGCTAACTAAACTTTAGAATGGCCCTCTCCCTTCTCGCAAGTATACACAGCTGGCTTGTGTTCTCAGATAAAATCACAAGAAGATGTTATTCTGGTTGTGGCGGACAGACTTACAAAATATGCAACATGAGCAAGTTCCTAGTTGATACCTGCGGTACCTTTTAATTCACGTCACTTATTTTGTGCTGAGGAAAAGTTTTAAGTTGTGAACAGCATACAACACATTGGACCGTGCTTACCATAGTTTTCAACATCAAATTGTCCAGAGTGATGCAATCTTCAGGGAAAAAAAATAGAAAAGTAATATAAGGTTGTGATGCAACCTTTGTGCATATCTGCTTACCAAGTTTTTAGAATACAACCAGATATCCATCCAGATTCTGTGCATCGTAAGTAAATTTACACAACACTGTAGTGCGTTTATCAACAGTATTGCAGCTCCACTACCACAGGTGCGGTATTTGAACGTGAACAGTATTGCAGCTCCACCTATTCAGTTGGCTGGTTCGTTTCGTTGCTGGTTCGTAAAGAAGTACCGCTGGCTGGTTTGTGTGAGAGAAAAATACTGTTTCAGCTGAAAATTTACGATCGTTTACGACAAGCCACAGTCAAACGAACAAGCTGGTAAAGCCTGAAAGATTGTAATTTTGAGATTGCACAATTGGAACAAGTGAATCAAACGAATCTGTTACTCTCTGTTCTCTCTAGCCTTAGAAAGACAAGCACGACCATGCACTGTAGGTACACTCGTGAATCTCTGAAGTAACACACTAGAATAGTATTCACATTTACAAGGGATACCGCAATGAACAAGCAGTAAAAAGTACAGGATTTAAGCAGCTGGGATGGCAACTACTTCACAAGATTCGGCGAAACATTCTTCATTGCTTAGATACTACTCTTGGAATTCAGGCCATGGGATATGTAATCCATGCTCCAGCTTTGTGCTTTACGCGCAGCAGGAAGAAGAGCTCACCATCCTCTCAGGTGGTCTCTGGTTAAGAACCATTCCACCTTGTGGGTTCTGAACCTGCTGTCCTTGAAGCAATTTCTTCGCTGAAATAAGGAAACAGTAGTCACAGTGGGTAAATGATTGAGCAACAACACGCTGCAGTCAGTAAAATTCTGCCAATGTAGAGGAACATATCTAGCTTACAGCCCAATGACCACCCTATCTGTGTGTTTAAATGCTAGTACTCACCAATCTCGTAAAACACATCGTTCACATTGATAGCTGTTTTAGCAGAAGTTTCCATGAAGAAGAGACCATTCTCTTGAGCATATGCCTTTGCTTCCTGCAGCATAGGATCATCATGTTACCTAATGTATTTCGGTTCAATAGACACCATCACAATCGAACAAGATGACATAAGCACAAAAAGAAATTGCTGGTACCATGCCCCAACATTTTCATGCTCCAAGGTCCCAGCCCACATGAAACATCGAACTGGAAGTGGTCCAGCAGCCTGTCACTAATTCTATGTACCTTCTGCGGTCAATACCTACCACTACCTTTTAGAAGATAGCCAAAACTTCCTATTCTATCGAGGCTGCATCAGAAAATCAGTGCATACTCAACATCCTCTGTTCCCTACCACTCTGTACCATATTGTTGGCCGATAAAGATGCATTGATTGAATGCAAAAGCTTCTAAGATGAGAAATCACTAAAGAATGAAGATGACAGCAGCTACAGAAACAAATGCGGTAGCCATGAATGTGTTAAAAGTGAAACTTGAGAAGCATGTTAACATACTTCTGCTGGCACCTGCCTCGCGTCTAACAAATCAGCCTTGTTCCCAGCAAGGGCCACTATTGTATTCGAGTTTCCTGCATTAAAACAAAGGAAAGGAAAATGAGACTAAAAACTTGTAGATCAGCCCAATCATTGACGTAATACACTAATACATCCACAGTTAACCCTTTCCAATAAATTCACATCATACTCGCTGAATCAATTTCTTATACAGCTGTTCAATAGGACAGATGGTCCATAATAAGATCCAAAATATCAATATCATTCCTTATGAAGCAACCTCCCACCATACAAGTGCATGTTCCAATATGTAGAGCACTGAGGTAAAAAGTGCAAAGTAGTTATATGTTACCTTGTGCTTGAAGTTCTTGAACCCATTTCTTCGCACGTGTAAAAGAGGCCTATAATGCATAAAAATAATAATGAGTACCGCTATTCATATGTGCTTACCACAATATTAGTATGCCTCAGGATTAAAAGAAGGGGCAAAATAAGATGATATTAAACTTGTTCATGGAGAAAAACACAAAAAATTTAAGGTTGCTTGATGTTCTGGATTATTTTTTTGGACAAAATTTACCTAAGAAACAAAGTAGACACCATTAGAATCCTAAGCTAGCAAAGTAGCAATGTCAAAAATAGTAAAGATATGAAATTGAAATCCTTTTGCCATCATGAAGCAGTGAATCACAGGAGTCCCATGGACTGGTTGCACCAAAAGTTACACAATTTTGTTCTGATTTCGGGTTGCTCGTGAAATGTGGACAAAAAAAGGTGCAAACATCCAGTTGCTCTAGGTTTGCAACATCATACTGATTCACTTCTGTTGACACATTTAGTAAAAAAATGCACCCTCAAAGGGTCTGCATGCAGTTGGAAACTTCTAACATTGCATCTTTCCAGAGCTCAGAGCATAGTGAATTAACAGTGCGATAGCTATACGCTATAAAATCAAAGTTGGATGCAAAGCTGAGCGATCATGGCACACAAAGAAGGATGGGTGCAGAACAATTCTCCAGAACACTGCCTTTCAGTTATTATTTCAGTGGCAGTGACACATTTCAGTTCTGGACTCACCATTGGGGCAGAGAAGAACAGACGGCTGCTAGGCCACAACGAAATGTAACGTATTTATTTAATTCTAATAAAGCTGTAATCTGCCATTATATCAGTAATTCAACAATCATATATTTAATTCTACTTCTAGATCAAGAGCTCCTACGAGCAGAGGATAGTCCTCCTTTCAGAAGATGTTATCATAAGAAAAAAATAAAAATATCCATAACATACGGACCAGAAGCACTATATTCAATAAAAAACCAAACATTTTGCATCGATCATGAAAGAAACAGAATGCAGTGTGCTATTCTAATCAGAGCAGGGGAATTCTCATCAAGAGGTACAAATGGTGATTCTTAAGCTCTCGTCTGCCATTATATCAGTAATTCAACAATCATATATATATTCATATTTGTTGTGACATGACTCCTACCTGTTAATTTTCACAATTGCCAATCACAATGAATCATAACATCAAGAAATTACCAGCACAATTCAACATTACTACTATTGAAGTAAGTATATTTCATTGTACTAACCGCATTGGTGATGTCATAGACAACTATGGCAGCCGCAGCGCCGCGGTAATACATGGGAGCCAAGCTGTGGTACCGCTCCTGCCCCGCCGTGTCCCATATCTCGAACTTCACCGTCTCGTCGTTAACTGCCAGAGTCTGCGAGAAGAAAGCTGCGCCGATGGTTGATTCCTGCAGCCAAATGAAGCAACACATTCAAGCACCCACTATGTATCACGAACCTCCTGAATTCAGACACAATCCACATTTGAAGGAATTTGAAGTGATATGGAACCTCACCTGGAACTCGACGAACTGGCCTTTCACAAACCGGAGGACCAGGCTGGACTTGCCGGCGCCCACGTCCCCAAGAAGAACCTGGCGATAAAATCCAACCGAGCAGAGGAAGAGGAAGCAAGCGCGTGTCAGCATCCGCAGAGCTCAAAGTCGCCGTACGAAACAACAAACCCTAACTAACGGAAAAGGAAAAGAAAAGATGCGATCTTGAAATGATCGCTGCAAAGTCTATCTGCCCCCTCTCAAGAAACCCCAAGAGGGAACTCCCAGGCCGCCATTCCAACAGCGGAGGGGCGACACCTCCGGCTGGTAGATGACTGAAATCCAGACTCGAAACCGAGAGGAACGGGACATATGCGCTCGAAATCGAGGGTTCGGGTGGGGGATTGCTCACCAGCTTGGCGTTGCGGATCTTGTTGCCGCCGGCGGTGGCCGCCATCGAGCGAATCCCAGTTTGGGATCGGAGCAGACGCCGGAGGGAGAGAGGGAGGGACTCTGGTGGAATTGGATGGGAAATCACGCGCGCACAGGCGACGGAGCGAGCAAGAATCTGGGAGCTCTTCTCTTCCGTATCCCCCCTGTGCTGATTGCTGAACCAAAAAGAATCGGGAGATCCTAGAAGGCAAGGCAGCTGTTGCCGTTCCGCGTGGTGTGGTTTTTGTTAGCGTGCCGTGTTGGCTCCTCTCCTCTGCGGTTACCGCGTCTCCTTCTGGATTTTTGGCTGGTTGATGAAGCAATAAGCAGCGTTGCGACTCTTTTTCCTAATCCGATTCCATCCCTAGTTTATTTCGTAATTGCATACGTGGTCTTTGACCGGTGCACATGCTAGTGTATGAATGCGAGTCAAACTCTCGTTTCAGGCTCTAGTCTAGCCACCTTGGCATGGCTTCTAGAGAGCTGAAATTGATGTCAGATACTATAATGATTTTTTTCTTCACTATAATAACTTTACAAACTTTTTTTTTGTTTTGGATGGAAGTTCTCTTCTAAAATGTCGCTGCAAAGAGCATTGCTTCTAAAATATAGCAGCTGAGTGGCCCATGTTGCTTTTGTTTGTTTGTTTGTATAGGTAGCTTTTCAAAGTTATTATCTGCTTATTCCTGTAAAATTCCCACCATCCAAACACACCCTCTTGTCAGGAGAAAAAATGCCTCTGATTGTGGTCAGGTACTTTTTTCTAGACCATATCCACAAGAACGTTGAAGTTTGTCTTGAAATTATAATGGTCGTCCAAATTGCTCTAAACGTATCTGCTCCATCTCACCAACAACATACGGCAACATACGGTAAAAAGGAACAGTTCATCTGCTCCAAATACTACACGAACTGAGAGTCAGTATAGGAGCTCGTCATCGGATCATAGTAAGTAAACGGTCAAAGTCAACACCACGGCGCCAACTCTTCAGCGCAGAAATAATTAAAAGGCGGGGGGTCCTCTCTGTAATATGCCATCTACCAACTGATCAAAGCAAGTTCAACCAGCACGGCCGTCGCTCACCAAGAGAAAGAGACCCATTTTCATTCTCATTTGTGGACGACGGACGTTGAACGCAAAGAGCGAGAAAGGAAATGTTCAACTTTTGTTTGCACACACCGACCGACCGGCCGGCTCTGCAATCTGAGCCTCTCGAAGTCCAGAAGGTGGTGGTGGTGGCAGGTCAATTTGGCCTGTAGCCAGGCACCTAGCTAGCTCTTTCTAGAATGCTCTCTGCTTGCCACATGCTCTGTACTCGTACCCAAATTTGTTTTTTTTTTATTAATTATCATGCCCTCGCAATCTTGCCCTGCCGGCTCCGACTAAAGTCTGATCAGCAGCATAGTACAGGCATACTATATTATTACTTGAGGATTATTAAGAGTTACTAGCGCCCAGACGTCCGATACTTCGATCCGGGCACTTAGCGTCGAACGGTGCAAATTTCCGCTGAAACGTTAATATGTGAATAAAACAAAATCCCGCGCCTCACCATGCTTATCTTTACGCTTGCCCACACGCCTGACACGTCTACCCCGACGCCTAACTCACCCCTCGCCCCACCCCCACTCCGTCGTGCCCCCGGCCGCCGGCCCCAGTGCGCCGCGTGCCACGTCTGCCGGCCACCGGCTCGCCGCGCCCCATTCCCAGCGCCCCCTGAGTCTCCGAACATAACAAAATATGTGCAACATGAAACACTTGAATGCAACATACATCTGAAACATCTAAAACATACACTTGCAACATATGTGTGAAAACATATGCAACATCCAGATCGAACACTTGCAACTTGCAACATGAAAACACTTGCTGCAACAGAAGAGTGAAACAGATGAAGCATGTTGGAACATATTGTTGCAACATATGTGTAAAAACCTATGGAACATATAGATCAAAACGATTGCAACATACGTCTGAAAGTAGATGAAATATTTTGAACAAACGCTTGTAACATGCTTTAAAACACTTAAAACATATGCAACATGTGCAACATCCCCTGATATACTTTTGCAACATTCATATAAAACAATTGCAACATACATCTGAAACGCCTAAAACACTTGAAACATACATATACAACATAGGGAAGGGAAAGGCTGAGCCAGTCGATTCCGATCATCGGGGTCAGAGACGACAGCGAGCGGCTACACTCGAGCACCACCGCCACCACCGCCACCGTACCAGTGCCGAGCTTGGCTCGACGGCGACGGTGGGAAATGGGGGGCGAGGAGCGCCATGGCCGCTGGGGTGGTGGGAGCTCAGTCGTTGGGGTGAGAGAGGGCGCCGTTGGGGGTGGGGAGGACACCGCACCAGGGTGGGGGAGAGCCACCCACTCCCCTACAACACCGCCATGCCACCTTTCAAGGCTCTCGCTCGTCGTCCATGGATCTCACTAGGGTGTGGGAGAGGGCTACTGGATCTGTGGCATTGGGGGCTCCCGGTGGGTGAGGACGCCGGGGTGGGGGAGGGGGCGCCGCTGGTGTGGGGAAAGACTCGCCGAGGTGGGGGAGGAGGATGCCGTGGTTGGACAGGGCGCGCCCCGGGGTGGGCAAGCGAGAGAGAGAGAGGAGCGGAGCAGCAGGGGAGCACGAGAGAGAGGTTGTCGGGCAGGCGGTGCGTGCATAGCGAGGCGAGGTGGCCCAGAGTTGATTTTGTTTTTTTATTTATTTAGGCGAGCGGTGCGTGCGGTAGTGAGGTAAAGTTATGTTGCACGTCACGCCACGCGTCTGGAGGGGAGTATGATGTCGGACGTCTTGTTTGTAGCATTACCTTTTTTAATGATAAAAAGTAACTCATCATAGGAATTATGGGATAAAATTTATCTCTCAAGGTATACCGCACAAAGCAAATTACACATATCTTAGACACCTTTAATTAAAAAACAAGTCTAAAATATAGGAACTTTCGATGGGAGGCAAACAAGACTACTACTATACTAATAGGGTTTGTGTACGTGTGTTTATAGGGGTGATTGAGTCTACGTGCATGTTGTGGACGTCTACGCTGTACCGTGTAATTCTAAAAAAATAAGGATCGAGGTAGGCTCTTTCGTTCGCCAGAGTTACGCGCCCCTGACAAAATCCTATAATCCCTTAGTAAAGTTCTTAATTTACACCATTTCTGGCTGGCTTCATTAGAGACTCACAAATAAAGATTGTATAGCTATGGAAGAGACTAAGAGAGATCCTGTTGCACCAAATCATCTCCTATTAGTTCACCATGTCTCGCCGGCTAAGGGCACGCACAACTTATAGACAGGTTGTCGTCTGTAAATTACCTTAGAATTATTTTTAAATAGGAAATAAATAATTTCGAGAATAGTAAAATCTAACCCTAATCCATCTTGGTCCAAACCATGCATATATAAATACATGCCAGAGATATTCTTCACGTGTTGATCGCGGATCTAAAAATCCTATCTTGATCCATTACTTCACCCTCCTTTACCCACTCCTCGAAGCTCCACTCCCCTCTACCTGCCTCCTCCCTCTCTGACCTCCTATGAGGCTATGACTTACTTTTGCTTTGAACGAACCGGATAGGGAGAGCTGCTGGTTGTATTAATAAAGATGAAAATCCAAACTCTGGGCAAGAACAATAAAGCAACAAAGAACCCCAAAAGGGTCAAGCAATAAAACGAGATACCGAAAGAAAGTAACTAAAAGAGTCTGGAGGTCTCAAGCTCGGATCGAGGGTGACTAGGGGAACCTTGAAGTTTGCACTTTTTAGGGATTAGATACTGGATTCAATTCCTTGCCAAAAAAGAGAGAGATAATGGATTCAACTAGTGGATCAGAAGTGGGCAACTGAAGAAATTCTCAATCTAGATTTAATAAATGGGAGGAAGGATGTTCATATTCAAAAGCTTGCTCCTTTCAAGAACAAGCTATAACAACATTCGTATCCGTTAACCTTTGAATTTTTCGAAGCGAACTGGGCAGGAGAGGTCCAAGCTGAAATGTACATATAAATTTAAGCATATATACCATGAATAATGGATATAAATATAATTTTAAGTATACTTAAATAATTGATATCCCACATGCTTAGATTAAAAAAAATGGTGTTTTGTATGTCAGAAGTCGATAATAAAGAAGGAAATAGACTGGGAGAGAGGGACTCCGGTGGGATGGGACGGGGATGGGATCGAACGATGATGAGATCACGCGCGCAGGCGCAGGCGAACGACCGGGCGAGAGAATCTGGGAGCTCTTCTCCTCCGTACTGAAAAGGAATCGTGTGTGTGTGTTGGTTGAGCTTTGCTTTGTGGCTCAACCCAGCCCTATAACAGCCACAAACAAATTCATCATCTACTTTGGGCCGGCCTGCGATCTCCGCGGGCTGCAAACACTGTACCCCGAGGGCCGAGGCCCAGGCCAGATCGCTATCTCCAATGCTGCCAGCCTTGGGCAGCTCGGCTTACCGCCATGCCCCCGCTCTCTTCGGCGTCCGCAGCGTCAGCCCGCGCCTCTCAGGTATCCCCGGAGCCCAGATCTCGATTCCCTGGCGGGTGTCCGGCGCTAACCGAGTGGCGGTGACCGCGTGGCTACGCTGCAGGGGAGAAGCCGGTGAGGGTGCAGGAGGAAGTCATGCCCATCGCCACGGGGCTGGGGCGGTAGGAGCTGGATGCCGAGCCCCAAGTGAGCCGGTCCGGTCCTTTCTCGGGGCTCCGTTGGGGGGCTTTGGAGTGGAGGCGCTGGGCCGCGTCCGCGAGGGCGCGGCCATTATCCGCACCAGGGGGAGGCCGGCGCGAGCAGCGTCGTCGAGCTGTGCGGCCGGCACGGGCGTTCTGTCAGGAGCGACGGACGTGCGTGCGCTCCGCCTCCGCGGCATGGGCGACGACGGGGTCTTCGCCTACGCTACACCCTCCACGCTCATGATGCAGTGTCTGCGAGACTGACAGCGTCTTCGCTGGCTCCCGCACCTTCAAAAATATGCCGTGAACCGGCCTTTAATCCAAAGGGGGTGATCGAACTTTGGCTGCCAGCACTTATACAAGGTGTTCGACTATATGTCTCGACAGTTGAACTACGAAACTTCAATGATAGCTACCATGCCACAACTGCATTTGTTTAATCGGACCAGCCTTGTTAGGGGTGGAGTCCTTCGGCAGATTTGGGGCAAATTTGTCTTTCTGTGATGCATACAGTGGCAACCTAGGTGCATGTTGTATGTTTTTTGCGTTGTATTCCGTCATTCTGTTTAGTGTGATGGAATTTTTTCATTTCACTATCAAATGTAAGGGCCAAGTGGCCAACCTGTATGTTCATTTGAGGTAGCATAAACCGATAAACGGGCATAGAGAGGACAATGCTTCATTCCAATGACAAAGGTATGTTCTTTGGCACATGGCAGGGTTCAGACAACTGGCATGATGAACCAGTTGGTTCATTGTATTCAATCACAGAACAGGTTTCTAAATTTTAGCCAGATCATGCCCTAAACCACACCCATTCCATTTGATCTGCTGACCACTAAGAAGCTATAGGCATTGGATATCTATCTCCCTGTGAGGTTGGCACTTGCCTGATTTGCCGTGATGAGAAACTAGGTGCTCAGATGATCAAGAGTTCAAGACAGGTTGTTCACACACATATTGCTATAATTGCCTGACTGGGTATGTTGAAGAGAAGCTGTTGGCCTCAAAGTTGCCTATTTCGTGTCTGCAATTAAGGTGTAAATATCTTATTTTTGCTAGTGAGTGTAAGTCATTCCTTCCAGTTGGCAGCTATGATTCCCTGAAGAGGATATTTGCAGAAGATGGCACCTCAGAAATGGAAAGATTTTATAGTCCCTTTCCAAATTGTTCAGTGCTGTTAGACCTTAGTCAGCACTTCTCTAGGGCAAGTTCATCAAGTCAGCCAGATCTCAGTTGTATCGAGTGCCCAGAATGCCATAGAGATACTATGTATCAACTATGGAGTGGCACATCATGATGGGCTGTGATGAGTACCAGAGGCCTGTTGAGGAAAGAGATGCTGGAGACCTATCTTTGCTTCGCCTTGCACAAAACAATAGGTGGAGGTGTTGTCAGAGATGCCGACGTATGATTGAACTAACAAAGGGCTGCTTCCATATGACTTGCTGGTATGCTCTCTCTGCGTATCTTTTTTGTAAATATGCCAGATATTTGAAATCTGACAATCTTCAAACATCCTCAGATGCATGTACTTTCTAAAGAAAACTAGTCAATTTTTGCATAGAACTGAGCTGTCTTGTTGTCTAAATCAACAACCAGTACTTATTTCCTGATCTCTGTGGTTTTGTCAAAAGTATCCGACTCCTCAACTGAGGTAATCCAAATGCTAGTGATTAGTGACCCAGAAGAAACATTGATTATGTTTTAAAGTGCAGTAAACATTCCTAGTTTCCTTTGACTAATAGTCCAATATTGGTGCTTGTCCCAAATCAATGGAAATGTGTTAGGTAGTTATATCGTGTCAGACCGCCATATTCTTACATTTCTGTGGAGGCTTGGTTGCTTGCATGAAAATGTTGATATTCAGTTCTGATTGTGCAGTCTTCCATAATTCTGGTTCTGAAAACAACACTGCAATTTGTTGCATGACATAAGAAGCAACTTGATACAAATCTTGTAGCTGATTGAGTATAGGATCATGATAATGTTTCTCTACACTAGCATTCTGTTTGTATTGGGCATATCAGGATTCGACGATCGTGCTGCTTTTAAGTAGTGAAGCATGTTGGTGTTGTCATCACAGATAGCCATTCGTCATTAAAATGCATGTAATAGAGATTGTTCATTCATAAATACATGTGCTGGTCTTTATCTTGGTGCTAAACTTTACTTGTGCAGGTGTGGGCATGAGTTCTGCTACTCCTGCGGTGCTGACTATGCTGCTGGTGTACAAACATGCAATGTGTGTTCTGGGATGATGCCACTCTATAGTTGATACATAGTATCTCTATGGCATTCTGGGCGATGGGACACATTTGATTGCATGCCAACTTGGGGGGGGGGGGGTGTTAGCCTGAGACAATCCATGCCAGTCGCTGCCCCGCTCTGTGCTGACTCATACATCGTTGACACCATGGACCTCCACCAGCTTCCATGGCTGGAGCGATTCGTGTCAGTGATCAGCGACACCTACGATCATGACTACATCCAGTGAAGAAAAACAGTTATAGATAGCAGAAAAGAAATGGCACTTACCGAGTTTCATTCAGAATAATATGTTTCCATGGCCCTGTTGATAATTATACTGACACAGGGAAAAACGATATGCTTTCATCAAACACTAGTGTTGGTTTCCCCTTGCATGGTAACTTTTGGTGTTAGCGCATCAGCAAAAGAGTTCATCACTTATCAGTCTGTCCTTTATGATTCTGATCTCTCTCTTTTTTCAAGTGACCAAGACATATTTTTCGAGCTTTCTAAATTACCTATGTTGAATTAATCAGCAACATATCCATCTGCCTAGTTGATGCCTGTTGTTCATTCATGCAAGTCACATTTTATTTATTTTCTGTTGATGAAAGGTTTTATGTCGTTTGATAGCATACAAATTTTTGGTCGCTGGTTACCATTGTTTTCAAAATTATTTTCTAGCGACAACCAAGTTTGGTTGGTCAAATATAAAAGGAAAGAGAAAACAAACAATAGGATATAATCGTAACTTCGTAAGTAAAGCTTATTGTTGCTTCTGTATCCGTGAATATATCCAAACGTTTATGTTGTATTTTGATTCCTTGACCTCTAGGTGAGTGCAAATTGTACAATTAACCCATTAAAGTACTATAATAGCAGATGACTACCCCCTGCTGGGAAGTTTAAAGTCTAATTGGTTACATACTTACTTGTACACATGTTGCTGACTCAACATTTTTGTGTTGAGTGAGTCGCTGGAAAACACAATGAATTGAAATGGAGACAATCAAATGCTGGAACAGCAGCAAATATGCAAGGACTTGCAACTGTATACTCCATATGTTGCTAAATAAAACTAGCTGCTACATGAGCTTCAATTTTTATATGTATATTGTTGTATATGTCTTTTGCAGTTCTATTCTATATGCTATTTGAACTTTGGTCATAAAGCATGGAGTACTCACCGACCATCATGCTACTTCAGTTCAGTTGCCTCATTGTCTTCCTGATTTGTATATGTACCAAAATGAAAGATGTTCATCCTTTGATAACTCTACATGTCCTTTGGATAGCTTTTATATTAGTAGCATTAGTGGACAGGATAATTATTGAAGTGGTTGATAAGTTGGAAGACTTTGATTTGAGGAAAAGTCTATTTGTTGAAGTTTGGATTTAGCCGTCGAACTATAAAACCAGACATGCACAACTCTCCAACTATTAAACGCGGACAACGTGGATGGTTTCAAAGGTGGTTTTGAGTATATATGTATTTTCTAAAAATAATAAAATAATAGGTAAATCGCTAAAATTTATAATTAATTCTTTTTAAATAAGAAAATATGAAATTAGTAAAAAAAAATTCTAAAATATAATCTATCTCGTCGGTATCTAAAGCTTTGGTTTTGGTAATTTATTCATCCGAGTTCATTCGAACAGTTCAAAAATTTTGATTTTTGAATAGAATTATGGGACCATAAATGATTTCAAATGAAACAGTTGTCAACTACAAAGTTGTGATTAAATTTCAAAATATGAGATCCTCAAAATACAACTTTAGGACCGTAAATGATTTCAAATAAAAAAGTTGTCAACTATGAAGTTGTAGATCTCATCAAGATTACAACTTTAGTTTTGGTGATTGCTCCATCCGAGTTCAGTCAAAAGAGAAAACAAACAATAGGATATAATCATCGCATTGTTCGCTTGGCTTATAATCCGTACTTTTCCGGCCAACAAACAGTAGTTTTCTCTCACAACAAATCAGTCAACAGTATTTTTAGCCGTGGCTTATCAGCTAAGCGAACGGGGCGCAGGTTGGAGACTGAATGCTTTTGCCTAGCCTGTAGCGTGACTGGGTGTTGCCTATGTGGTATTTGGATGCACCCCTAGCGAGCTGCCTGTCCCAGGCATCACTGTGCCCCCCCACCCCCCTCCCCCCCCCAACCCGGCTCAAGCGCACGAAAACGGTCACCGAGCTGCAGCTGCTGGCTTGCCTGGCCTAATCACCCGTCTAATCACTTGCTGCCTTATTTACTGCTATTCTTTGTATTAGCTGGTACTGTGTATACGAAATTCCACAGAAAAAACATATACCAATAAACCTGCACTAATCAGAAGTCCTGATTACGTTTTTCTAGAAATAGATATTACGTTCTTTTCAGTTCTCTACCAATAAATCTGCACTAATTTCTATAAAAAAAAAACTACGCTAGCATCGTGTATACTGTGTAATTATAATTATCTTTGTTTCTCTTACATCTTTCCTTGTGACATTTTTTAAATAGCTAGGAAATCTATTAAATTTATTTACAATTTCAAATAGAGTAGCTTAACATGGGTGGAACTTAAAACGTCCTTTTGTGTGCGACAGACATTTGGTTTTTGGAAGAGAACCTGATCTCTTTGGTTCCTGAATGAAACGATTTCTTCTGCCTTTGCTGGATGTCTGGGATTCTAACCCTGAGCAATGGCTGGCATATTTTTTTTTTCTTTCAGTGTTTCTCATAATGTGTTGTGCTGCTTTCTTTTGTGTCACCAAATCATTTGAAGCGCATTGTTCTGCTGTTGCATCCTGCTTGATTTTTTCATGTTTTGGTAGAACTGCCTCATGAAAACTTCTGTCCAACGAAACTGCAAGTGTGGCTTGGTCCAAATCTGACCCTTTTTGTTGCTGGTAATTTGGTTTGTCTAGGAAGCTGTGATCAATTGATAAGTTGGGTCCCTGTTTGACCCATGATTTATTTTGATTCACCGAGTACCTGCTTCCAAGCGAGGTGAGGTGTTGATCATGC